CAAGCCACAATATTTCCATGGTATTTTTGTAAAATATTTATTATTTGGAAAAATTCAGATTGGAAGAACTCTTGTTTTGCACTCAAATTTATTATGAAGTATATTTGAGGTTTGTTTATGTGTGTGAATACAGATAGGAAGCATGTAAACACTGACTGGAAACGATAAGACAGCATGAGTTCTGATAAACGGATTCATTAAACCGCATCAAACGAGAAATCTCACCGACAAATGGGACAAACATATGTGCTAGGACGCAATGACGTCAGACCCCTCAACCCTGAGCCCTGCTCCAGTCCCAGCTGCAGACACAGTCTCTGTCTCACCCTCTCTCCCTCGCCTCTTGCTCTTTGTCTTTCTCAGAGTCGTCCTGAGTCTATTTATGTGTATTTATACAGATACGAAATTAACATGTCTTGTTGACTCTTTCCCAGGGGATTGACTGTGGGGGTCCAGATTTCAGCTCTGTTATCTGGCATTATTTCACTTGTCTGTATCTTTCTGTGATGCTCACATCCTAAGGCTGTTCTCATCATGGATTCTCAAATCTCTGTTAGAGGCACACAACCTTACTCATGCCCTATATAGGACTGTCTGAGACACAAGTTTCCCAAGTCACTCTTTTGTTTATCTCTTTATATATGGATTGTTTATATATATATATATATATATACATATATATAAATTTGTTAATTTTTCTGATCAGGTCCATATAAATTCATTAAAAATTATTCAAACAGTGCTTACATATTTTTCCCAGCCTGGGCGGCATTACAGCTGGAAAAACATTTCCTGGTTTTGCCAAGGCTGTCTTATTTTTTATTTTTTTGCAGACTTCGCCAGAACTGCATGTTCTGTTGCACTGGTCTATATTAACCAAACTCTCTGTATCAGCACCCAGCACTCCATACTGACATATTCTCGTTATTATCAACAATAGTTGCATTACTTTAATGACACTTGCTACGAAATACATTTTATCAACTGCATGTCAAAAATCAACAAATTGGTTTTAGATCAAACAGCATATTCTCCATTGATCTCAGTGCTGTCATGAGTCTCATCCTGTGTCTCCAGAGCAGTGTTATTTTAGTATTATTTATATAATACATTGTAGTATTTATTTTTAATTAACTTGAATTATGATCATTTTAATTTGATTTTATTTCAGTTTTAGTAATTTACTACTTCTACTTAAACTTATTTTAGTTCAGTTTTTTTTAATTTAAGTTTTTAGGGTTAAAATTAATCTAATATTTATATTACATTTTATTTCTATTAACAAAAATGGTTTTAGTGCTAGTTAATAATAACAGCACTGCTCCAGAGTGAGTTTATGACTCAGATGATTAACTCAGAAAGTCATGTGACCAGAACCAGGGCAAAGACAGCAGCTTGGCCATCCTCAGGAGTCAAGACATACTAAGAAGCAATTTCTAAATCTCAACCCAATTTTTTTTTAGGTCCATTAAGACTTTGACTTGGATTGTGACATTATTTTCATGACAGTTTTTTCACACAAATCCAGAGTTTTTACATTTTAGTGTTTCATAATTCACATTGGACTCATGATTCTCACTGCTGCAATACAGTTATTACAAAAAATCACTTACAACAACTTGTCTCCATGGCCAACAGGAACATATCCAATATGCACTTTTATTGGCTAAAATGTATCTAGGGTTGTGTATGTATAAAAGATGTCTACCTTTTCAAAATATGATGGCCTTTAAAATGTGCCGTATATTAAAGCACAGTCTGGATTAGCTGTTTGTGCAGGCCAGTCAATTTCCTGTGCCATTTGTTATAGATAATAAATGATAAGTGATTTAAACCATTATTTTTATTATACTGTACTGCAATCTTGTTTTCCATCTAAGAAGGGAAGAAATCCATTGTGCAACAATATCCCCTCACCTTTCTAGTGTAGCGGACAGCTTTCGTAAAACTGACAGTGAGTGAACACCAGTGAACACCATTTGATATTTTATTGTGAAAATGGGGCTGTTTATTCATTCATTGCTTTTTCAGAATCAAATGCATTATATCATGCTTAATCCAAATCCTTATATTGATCATTTTGTATGATGTACTACTGCTCAACAAGAAAAAGAAAAAAAAATCCCAAGAGACCAACTTTGAGATTATTTATTTATTTATTTTTTAATTCCTCATTTTCTTTTTATTTGTTTGTCTTTGTTCTGTTTTACTTGGGGAAAAGCCCTCAGACTGCCACTGTGTTTATGAATAATTTGAGTCATATATTGTTTTAGCCCTGGGCATGAGAGGGCTCTCTCTAGGGGAAATTATCAGCTTCCTGTTATCGAGATGCTCTTGTTATCATGTCGTAATCATTTGTAATATCTGTATATGAAAATAGCGTACGTGCAAATGTTACTTAAATCATCCCAACACATTTTGGACAGTGAAACAATAATTTCAAGTCTTATTGTGTATCTATATTAATATCCATACAGTCTCTAAACAGGTTAGACCTTTTTGGAAATCCTTGGAGCCCTTGTTTTTGCTGGTAGATTGCACTCACAAGAAAGCGAGAGGAATGGGAATGCAACGAATGAAGAGTTCAAGAGCATGGTGATCAAGTAAACAGCAGCGCTGGACGCCCCACTTCTGAAGTCTTGAATAATGTGTTTATATCTTGCTATGCTGTCTGCACACCACCTGCCCACTGACTCCAACTTCAAGGAAACAGGAGCCAACACCTGGGTTTAGTGTTGCTAACACTTGTCCAAATGAGCAGTAATCCACCAAATATGTTTGCATTGAACTGAATTTACTTTAATGTTTCCCTAATTATGTTTTTGTGTAAACCTAGAGAGACTGCACATGAAGTTTATACTCTCGGACATTAGTACTGCTTACAGAATCCCTAAAATTGGCTGGGAGTGAATCTTACACGCTTGAAATTGTCGCAAGACCCTGTTGAAAAAACAGCATATGCTGGTTAAGTATGTTTTGAAGCATGGCAGCTGGTTATGAGCTGGTATCAGCAGGTCATGTGCTGCTAGACCTAAGCAACTAGCTCCAGCTTAGGACTAGCTCATAACCAGCTCAGGACCAGCTTAAACCAGCTCATGGCCAACTAAAGACCAGCTCAAACTAGCTGCCATGCTTCAAAACCAGACTGTCCTCCAACAAAAAATAACCCTATAGGTCGTTTGTGCAAGCACCTTATTACGACCTATATATAAGTTTTAAAGTTTAGTGCCCTCTAGCGGACGTTAAAATAACGACAGTGTCGTGTTGCGTCTGTCGTCATGAAATGACGTATGACTGTCATTACCAATCAAAATGCATGTTTATTTAAATGCGATTTGTGGATTTTTTACATGGTCCAACCCGATCTCATGGCAATTTGTACATATTTTACTAGGTGGCTAATTCATACGACTTCGTACGAATGACCACACCTAACCCCGCCCCTAAACCTACCCCCACAGAAATCATGCAAAATCGTGATGTACAGTGCATATATATTTTATGAGCACATGCATTCTCTGGGATCGAACCCATGATCACATGACTGCATATTGTCATGTAACGCTATGATCTACCAACTGAGCTATACGAAACCCGAATTATGGTGCAGAGTACAAAGCATTAAAGGGTTAGTTCACCCCAAAATGAAAATTATGTCATTAATTACTCACCCTCATGTCGTTCAAAACCCATAAGACCGTCGTTCATCTTCGGAACAAAAATTAAGATATCTTTGATTAAATCCAAGAGCTCTCAGACCCTCCATAGACAACAATGCAACTGAAATGTTCCCAGACAAAGAAACTTAGCAAGGACATCGGTAAAACAGTCCATGTGACATCAGTGGTTCAACTTAAATTTTGCGAAGCTACGAGAATACTTTTTGTGCGCAAAGAAAATGTAATTAGCATTGTTTACGTTAGGGGGGAAAGCGTGCGCATGGACGTAATCGGCGTAATCAGCGTTGTTTACACTTAGGGTAAAGCGTGCGTATGCGTTGTGATACTCTCCAAAATGGCGTAGGACAGTAACTCGGGGGGAGAAGAATTGTTGAATAAAGTCGTCATTTTTGTTTTCTTTGCGCACAAAAAGTATTCTCGTAGCTTCACAAAATTGAAGTTGAGCCACTTATGTCACATGGACTGTTTTACCGATGTCCTTGCTACGTTTCTGTGTCTGGGAACATTTCAGTTGTATTGCTGTCTATGGGAGGGTCAGAGAGCTCTCAGATTTTCTATCAAAAATATCTTAATTTGTGTTCTGAAGATGAACGGAGGTCTTACGGGTTTTGAACGACATGAGGGTGAGTAATTAATGACAGAATTTTCATTTTGGGGTGAACTAACCCTTTAATATGGAAGTGTCCTGTTGCCGATAGGGGTGCAATTGTAGTATACGCTCTGATGGGTCATATTTCAGGGATTTGGACAAATGACCTATACGGGCATATTGGTTGGAGGACATGTTGCACAAAACATACAGTACCTAACCAGCATATTCTGTTTTTTTTCAGCAGGGGATTCTCGTGTTTTTAGCATCCCCTTTCAGTGAAGATGTTCGCAATGAAAAATCCTACAAAATATGCATTTATTCAGTCTTAAAACAGAACAGATCAAGTTTCAATAACATTAATATATAAACTGGAGAATATATAGCAATGACTCAGATTGGAAATGGGTCTCAGATGCTTCCATGACTTTATTTGTTCCCTTAAAATGGACTCAGAGAATATCATCCTATAAAAATCTTCATTGAGACATGCTATCCCATTATTTCAATTATCTGTAAAAGGCAGCCTTAGGCCAAGCTCTGCATCCGTGTTTTATAATCCACTTCATGAGCAGGTGATTCACCCTGAATAATCCTTTTTTCGCTCAGCCAACAATAAGAATTAGGCAGTGTTCATGGCATCAAGCTAACCCACGGATCTCTCTCTGTCAATTCATGATCAAGTTCTGGAAGCGAGACAACTTCAGGAACTGCAGGTTGCCACACCTGCGCTACACTTCGGACTCGCTCCTGACAGGGATGCGCAAATCCAGGGTGTGATTACAGAAGCGGTAGACCACGGACCAGTTGGCTTTCCGCTTGATGAAGAGCCGCAGCTTGTCTCTGAAAGTCTCCCCGAGGAAGCTGTAAATGATCGGGTTTAGGCAGCTGTTGGAGAACGCAGCCAGGTTGACGATGTGTCCAGTCAAGGGGTAGTCGTGCCACAACGTGGTGTCGCTGCGTTTCGACGGGTCGGCCGTGCCTTGGAGCAGTTGGATGCTAATGAAAACATTCTCAGGTAGCCAGCAAATAAAGAACACCAGCACCACCACCACAATCATGCGCAGGGCCTTCTGCCGGCGTGGCCACAGTCCTCTGTGCTTCTGGGCACGCATGAGGATTCGGACGATCAGGGAGTAGCACAGGCCGATGATGGAGAACGGCACCAGAAATCCGATTGTCACCTCGAGCCACTGGATCTCAAAGACGTTGGCGAAGCAGAAGTGCACCTCGCCGGTGTGTTGGGTCTGCACGATGGTGAAAGGAAGCAGAGTCGCCAGGATGGAGGCCATCCAGATGAGGCTGCAGCTGAGTTTGGCATGCTGCATGGTTCGCAGTGGACTGCTGCTCATAGAGCTAGCCAGAGCAATGTATCGGTCGAAACTCATCCATGTCAGGAAGAAGATGCTGCTGTACATGTTCACCTGGAGGAACAGCGACATGAAGGTACAGAGGACGGCGTAGTCGTAGTACTTCTCGTTGAGATTGAAGACCTCGATGAGCGAGTCTGCCACCAGAATAAGGTCCGCCACGGCCAGGTTGACGAAGTACAGATCAGGGATGGTCATCTTGTCCCTGTGGTTGAGGTTAACCACCAAAATAAGGATGTTCCCAATGAAGCCAATGGGGAACAGGAATATGGTGTACAGGCAGGAGAGAAACAGGCTGATGATGTAAAACTCATAGGTGTCTATGCTTTCTTTCACATCGGTTAGGTTGAAGTCATACGAAGCATTGAACTGCTCAGTGCCATTTACGTAAATCTGAATCACAGTGGTAGTCTGCTCTTCCATACTGGCCAAGTCTCTGTTTCAGATGCTGTGAATGGTGCTACATACTTCATTTGTGTCAGTGCCCAGTTCGCCTTGTAGAGAGCATCCTTCTTTAAGCCTCCATTCGCATTCTGACGGCAACCGGTTGTTTACAAGCGGACGCTCAAGGTCTGATTGAATCCACCCAGACAGTTTCACCTCTGGAGATGCAGCCAGGGTAGAAGACCTCCATTTTCAGGGCAGTCTCTCAGCTATGGAGGCTGCCTGGGCTTGTGTGATCCATGGCACCAACACCAAGAGTCTCTCCTTAGGGATTGAGCTTCCTTTTTTTCTTTTGCACACTTTGCTCTTCACACGCATTCAATCCAGTGCAGTCTGGTCTCCTCCAGTCCATGAGCATGATTTTTTTTTAGTCCACTAATGACACTACCTCTGTGACACCTGAACAAGAGAGAGAAATAAGAGGAAAATAATATCTGAAGAACAAAACATTTTTTTTGTTCACTTGTTTTGATCACTTGTTTCATTGACATTATTATTTAAGGTGATAGTTCACCCCAAAATAAACATTCTGTCATCATTTATTCACCCTCATTTAATTCCAAACCTGTATGACTAAATTATTGACTGACAGCTCTCCTGTCCCCGTGTTGAGACAAATCGGGGACCAAAAATGTGAACTTGCATTTACTCGATTCCACAAAATTAATAAAAACAGTGAAATGCAAACTCAGAATATGATGCAAGCCTTTCTTCTGCATCCTATTCTTTATGCAATTCAGAATAGGAGCACAGCTGAAAGGTTAGTTTGAGCTGCACCCACTAATTTACAGACATGAATTTACATCTCCTTCAGCCTGAGGCGTATTCATGTCACTATTGGTGTGAAAAGGCTTTTACATTTACCAAAATCAAGCAAGCAAGCCCAGACCAGATTGAAAAAGTAAAGCAAAAGTAACGTAAGTAACGCCCAACTCAATTCGAGCATCTAAGCCATCTAAGAAATGGCTAAAAACACATCTCTTTTGTCTTCATTTGACCCTCTAACTCTAGCACTCTCTATTCTAATTCTATTTTATCTATTTGTTTTCTTTTTTTTATTTAAATAAAAAAAAAACACTTGATCCTCTAACACTTGCACTCTATTAATTTTCTAACTGCTTGTTTTCTTTAAAAAAGGGCCTCTAACACTAGCTTTCACTATTATTTTTCTATTTTATCTACGTTTTCTTTTTGTTGTTTGTGTGTGTGTGTGTGTGTATATATATATATATATATATATATATATATATATATATATATATATATATATATATATATATATATATATATATATATATATATATATATATATATATATATATATATATATATATATATATATATATTAGTGCTGGGCAACAATTAATCGCGATTAATCACATCCAAAATAAAAGTTTTTGTGTACATAATATATGTGTGTTTATTGTGTATATTTATTATGTACTGTATATATAAATACATATACATGCATTTATATGTGTTTAAGAAAAATATGTTATGCTTATATATTAAATATATTTATGTATAATAGAAATTATATGAATATAAATATATACATGTAAATATTTTCTAAATATATACTGTATGAGTGTGTCTTTAAATATACATAATAAATATACACAGTACACACATATATATTATGTACAGAAAAACTGTTATTTTGGATGTGATTAATCGCGATTAAGCGTTGCCCAGCACTAATATATATACATCTTGCGTGTACTGCATTAGGTTAACCGAGACTTGTCATATCACTTGCATATTTTTGCTCTTTTGTTGGTTTTGATTGCTTCTATTGTCCTATGTTCATTGTTCATTGTTCATTTGTAAGTCGCTTTGGATAAAAGCATCTAAAAAGTAACTTGCCCCAACACTGATGACTATATATATGTTTTTGCCCATGTAATGAAAGTCAGTGGGGTCCGAAACTGCAAACAGACCCAATGGACTTTCACTGAATGATGGACAAAAAAGTCCAAGTCATTTTTCAAAATAACAGAAAGTCATACAGGTTTGTAATTACATGAGGGTGAGTAAATGATGGCAGAATTTGAATTTTGAGGTGAACCATCACTTTAATGTATTATGTTAAATATCTGCGTTTGCACTTGATGGCAGCTCTCATAACAGTTTTTAATTCATTGACATTGATTCACATTAAGGACCGAGTGTCTACAAGCTTATTAAAATGCAAAGCAAAGTCTTAAACAGATGCATTGAAGCACCCTGAGCTGTCAGACCCATGTGCTAAACTCACAACTATTAAACAGCAAAAAGACGCACTGTAGAACTGCATCATAGGGATAGATACAATATTTGATTTTCCTCACAGGAACATAGGCTAACTTTACATAACATTTATGTTCATAACTGATTTTCACTGCACTAATGTATTTTGATTTTGGAGAGATAGATTGTAGTGAACTAATTATTTTTTACTTACACAGAGTTAATGGGTGTCAAAAGAAAATATAATTATATTATATGACTAATTTCAGATTCATATGCCACAGTATCATCATGAATAATGGTGTGTAATGAATTAAATCTAATGCCTCCATGCTAATTAAAACGCTCATTATGCAACAATTACCATATATTTGGAAAGAATATGTAATATTTATATATAGGATCTGTATTAATCCAAATTAATTTGTTAAACAAATGCAAGAATTATATTAATAAGTATTAAAATTAAGTATGGCAGAAAAGACTGACCTTCAGTGAGCAATCAGGGCATATCCGACTTTTCACTTCCTACATAGATTAACAACTCCTTTCTCAAATATAATTCACCAGAGCCAAATTTAAATGTGCATAATTGTATTCAGTGATTTTAATGAGGTCTATGTAACCTGTCTGGACTCAAAATACTTTAACCTTTAAAAGAATCAGTCCGGATTAAACTCCCAATGAAACTGGTCGGCGCGCAGCAGAAAAGTCTAAGAACCGCAGCCAGCTTTCCAAAATTAGACCACTTATTTTCAGCGTTTTGCAGATGGCTTATTAGGAGCATAAAGGTCGGGATATTTGGACACTGTAAATGGTTTTGACAGTCATGCACAGTGCAATCAAATGCAATCACTTTTGCAACAGTTTGCAATATTTATCTCTTAAATAACGTAGGAAAAATATCTATAAAAAAAATAATAAAACAAAATTTTAAAAAGTTTCTGTCAATAATTTTATATAGGAACATAATATTTGTTTGGCATATCATTAAAGTGCCCATTAAAGTAAACAACTATAAACTAACAGCATTATGTAAGGCTTCCTTTGCTTTAGAAATACCATAAACAGAACTGTGAGAGTCTGATCCTGTAGCTGTAATTCATTCTCAACTGCAGACCCATTCAGATTTCATCACTGCATAATAGATAAAGGAACATTTGTTATTGCCTAAAATTACATCTCCTTCAAAAGACCCAGTAGGACAATATAACTCTTTCCCAAAAGGGATTCTGCACATTTACTCACAGATGCAAGATGACACGAGCAATTTATCAGTATATTAGTGATGGAGTAGATACATCAATAAAAGACAAGCACACACACACCCAGATAATTGAAAGGCTCATTTGGAAAGCGAGAGAGAGAGAGAGAGAGAGACTGCACATTATGATATGTCTCAACCAGGAAAATGACTGTGCTGCTTTATCAAGTGTTCCCAACTATTTGAAATCTCTGCAGTGCATTTGAAAATTATGGTGGAATAGAAGACTTAAGATTGTTTTTCCCTACCTCTGTTGGAAAACCATTTTACACTAGCATGAATTTGCATGATGTTCCAGGTTTATTCTGCTTCATGGTGCTGGTCTTGCGCAAGTGCCCCAGCATCGCCATGCTATTAGCCAACAAAACTTAACAGGTGAAGCTGCTCAACCAGCAGTATTTCTAGTGAAGCTGGTTGACTAAAATAGTCTTGTTGGTTAAGATAGTTAACTGTCATATTCTCTTTGGGTTCTGAGACTGCATGGCCATTTCAATAGCTCAAAAACATACTTAGCATTCAAGTAACAGGTGGATATTTCATGACTTTTTATTGCCAAATTCTATGAGAAATTATTACATTGTAAATAAATAAATATAATATATGTGACCCTGGACCACAAAACCAGTCTTAAGTGTCAATTTTTCAAAATTGAGATTTATATATCATCTGAAAGCTGAATAAATAAGCTTTCCATTGATGTAAAGTTGTCCAAATGAAGTTCTTAGCAATGCATATTACTAATCAAAAATTAATTTTTTATATATTTACGGTAGGAAATGTACAAAATATCTTCATGGAACACGATCTTTACTTAATATCCTAATGATTTTTGGCATAAAAGAAAAATCAATCATTTTGACCCATACAATGTATTTTTGGCTATTGCTACAAATATACCCCAGCGACTTAAGACTGGTTTTGTGCTTCAGGGTCACATATATGTATATGAACCGAAAAACGTACTTATATTTGGGGACTGATAGAACCCAGATATAAAACAAAAATAATGAATTTTCACATGATATGCTGTATGGCAGTTAAGCACACAGCAATATTATTTTAGTATTATTTATGTTGTTTACATATGTATTGTTTTTGTTGATGTATTATTGTCATATTTTCAGTTTTCATTTTACTTCATTTTTTAGATATAGTAATTTTGTTATGTGCTTTTCTCATTCTCATTATTTTTAATATTTATATTTAGCTTTATTTTAGTTCAGTTCTATACATTTTAGTTATTCAACTTCAACATTTCAACAAGTAACATTTCTAATTTTATGTTTTTTTTTTTCAAGTTTATATTTCTCACGTAATAAGTATATTTTACTTTTTTTATTCTAATAGTTTTAGTTAACAATAACAACCCTGACACACATTATAGCAGTACATTCCTAAAATGTTTCTGAAGGAAACAACAACAAGTGTATTACATTGTAAAACAGTACATTTTCTGTATGACTACTTTGACTAGGGTTAAAAGGTTAATTTGAAGTTTTTCACATAGAGCATTGGGCTCTCAGGTCCATATCGACACAAAAT